AATATTGGGATTTTGAAATCTTAGATCAAGTAGAGTTGCTAATATTTAATGTTTAGAATATAATTTTATTAATAAAAATATAAAATAACTTGAAGTTCAGTGATCGGAAACCTATGGTCAAGCTTTTTTTTCATATTTTCTTTTAAGCATATTATATCTGAGCAATCAGATTTATTAATTTGTATATGAGCTTCTATTTCACTGCTAAATGATAACCCTGAGTTTATTGTAGATCCTTTTTGGGAGGAAAGAAATTCCACCGACTCTCGGAATGGATTTACTTTAAGCTCATCTATCATATCCTATTCATTATTAAAGAGTTTTAAAGATTGTTTTCCTATTTTATTTAGAACATTATTTATAGGAATTTTGTTTACAATGCAAATACTTCCTAGCATAATTAATATGCTATGCTAGCGGGTTGGGCAATTTATTTTTAAAGTTTTTGCATTAATTGGATTGGTTGGTGCAATGCCATTTCTATTATCCGATTCATCAGACATATCAAAATGGTAAGGTATAGATCAGAATCATCAATATCCAAGATATTACCTGTCTCATAAATTGAGGACATTTACCATGTTCAGCCTCAATTTCACATTCCAAATCAGCTACTCGATATCTGAGGGCTGAAATAATTTCTCTAATTATTTTAGTGAGAATATCAATCTTGGTAACTTTTTTAATGCCAACAACTGTAACCAAATTATAAAGTCCATGCCCTAAGCATAAATGATGCTCATAATCCCCTAATCTGACGCTTCTTTTGACATTGGCCCCAGCATCAGTTACTATTTGTATTATTTTTGCTTTTAAATAGAACTCCTCTTCAATACTATCAATATCAGATAATATTGTTGCCCCAGTATGCTTTTGAGTCACATTTCTAGTTGAGGGTAAAATATTTTAATTCAAAATTTTCATCTAAATGATGAAGACTAAATGTGATATAATTTCGACGCTTGAAATGATCGGTCCACAAATCAAAAGTGATAGAACTAAATTTTGGTCCAGATTCAATCAAATTTAAAACATGCACCTTCATAGATAAATAAACATCGTCTAGTGTATCCCGACTAATGGTTGTTTGGAAATTCTGACGAGGAATCAATTATCTTATATTTCTAATTTTTGAACAATTTATTTTTTAATAATCATTTTATATAAATTTTAAACCTTTAGAAAGTCTGTCATTCCTTTATTGTTTATAGAATCAAATGGCATTAAATCTAAGCAGACATCAAAACATAATTTCGCCTTATTAGATTTCATATTTATTTTAAACATTAGAAAGATATATAAAAACATTACAATAGTTAGGGCTAGAATGAAACAAATTAAATTAGATATAGTATTAACTTTCAAAATAAAGCTTTACATAATTAATTTAATAAATTGTATATTAAGTTTATATTTTAAAAGATATTTTAAAACAAAATAATTAGAGCTGGAATGAAACAAATTATAAATTTGATTTAGTTTAACCTTTCTAATAAAGTTTTAAAAAATTATATATTAAATAATACTTTAAAAAGATATTTACAAAACACAAAATAATAAGGGCTGGAATGAAACAAATTATAAATTAGATTTAATGTTAGTATTCAAATTAAAATAATAATAATTTAATATATAAATATAATTAATATGCTTTCTAAAAATTACACACGCCGCGCCGCCGCCATAATAAAAATCGGCGGCGAGCCGGCTCGCGCCACTGATCTTAATCGGCGGCTTTTCCGGCGTGAATAAAAACGCCGGCGGCGCACAGGTCTAAATATACCTAGATATTATTTTTTTAAAACTATGAATTTTGAGAAAATTTTAAAATCTATTTTTAATAATAAAAATGATAATTAAAGATAGTTCCATGTGGGTTATGGGAAATAATTAAAATCTAAATCTTTGATAACCATATAAGTACACTAATTTTTTGGCGAATTTGGTTTGTATAACAAATTACTGCAATTCGACTCAAAAGTAAACAGGTGAACTATTGAGCTTACCAGAGCCAACTCCTGAACTGACACAAGCCAATTTCTGAATCGACGGGAACCAACTCATCTAGTCGGCTTGAACCTAAGTCAATCTTTACGCCTTTAGGACAGACCCCGGTGAAATTTATTTATTAAATAAATATATACGACCCACAATTTTTTGATGATATATGAAATAAAAATCACTAAAACAAATTCTTAAATAAATTTATATTCCCGGTCCTAGAAGGTAATTATTTGAATTCAATGTTAATTATTTCATTAATATTTTGAGTTCGCGACTCGAGCCTGCATTGCAATATGGAATCATGAATAATGCAATTTCTTTGAAAAACAGCCATATGGCATGTTTGATAAGAATATTTCATTACGATCTTTTTTGGCATAATTATCTCTCTAATAATGTGATAAATTTAAGAAATTCTTCACTAAAAACACCAATAGCATTGATGACAAGACAAGTAGGATAAATTATGTTAGCGATGCTGGATATTTAGTCATTTTCAAGATTTCTGCCGAATTAATTGATGAGGCATTTCTGCTGGATCGCGCGAAAAATTGATGAATGTGTAATCCCAAGCTACTGGAAGACCAAGACATTAGGGGAATACCATCGGGTACTCTGTTGATACTTGAGCATAAATGATTGTGCTCTAGGGCATTTGGTATGTTGGCGAGCTTTTGAGATTAGATATGCATGTTAGGTCTTTGGAATCAGATGATAAAGAACAATTAATACATTTAGAAGAAAGTGATATAATCGCAGCTAAGATACGAAATAGTTATGCGAAGTTTTTCGTTGCGAGATTTTGCTAAGTATAAAAAGCCCTTCGTAGCCCGATTTAGAATTCAGAATAACTTGTCTGACATTATTCTAATGAATCACTCGATAAGAAATAATCAACGGAGTGAGATACTGGAATATCCCATGCTTTCTGAAGGGTAAATGTGGGTCTGCTAACGCCAGGTTGACAATTGCTTACCTAAGTGTAAATAGCGCTTTCTAGGTCACGATAATGACCAGTAAGGATCTTTGAAATGCTTAATATTGAAGAGATAAATGCAGAACAGAGAGGAGGTATGAAGACAAAAACAAATCCAGCCATTTTTACATGGATAGCGCCTGGAGCCATGATTTGTCTGAAATTTTATATTGACAATAGCCTTCAGCATTTTGCGGATATGCAACTCATGCCTGGACAGCAGATCTTTAAAATGAAAGATTGGTGATGATTTCATAGAATCATGTTGAAATAATTTTTAAATAGAAAAAACGCCTGATGGGAGTGATTCATTTAAAATTGGCTGTATTTCTACTAGATTAGAATAGGGTTTATCTAAAAAGATCTTAATATCAGTGACACCGCCAATTAGAGAACCAAGATAAGTAAGTTCCTGGATGAATAACTAGAAGTGAGTAAATGACAAGTGATATTAGTTCAAATTTTATTAATTATTAAAATAAATAAATTTACATGATATTTATAAAAATATATTTAAAGGAAAAATAATATCAAGTTAAAATAATAGAATATTTCAATACAATTTTTTTAAATTTTCTCTCTTTGATCATTTTAAAATATGCAAAAAGTTTAATATTTATAATTACATTTCATAGTTATATGTTTAAATAAATTTATTATTCCAAAATAAAAGGTAAATAACTTATATCCATTCTTATTTTTTTCATTAAGATATGCCTTTAGAGTATGTTATAAGTGAAAGATGGACAAAACAGCTTATGCATTTTCAGGAAAAGGGGGGACTATAGGTCAAAAAACGATATTGAAATGTGTAGGATCATATAAATGGAAGGTAAGCCAAGACGTTCGCTAAGGTCGGTGTCATACACACGGAAAAGTCATTCTTCGCATACAAATAAATAATCAAATACTAGATGGTACTGAGGTGAATTAAACTTAAAGACGGTCGTTGCCTATCACAAAATGCGTCATAGCGCAATTTTTTCTTCAAATAATATATTAGACTGCAGAGATTATTTACTATATAAAAATAAAATATTGACTGATTTTGAAGGTTGGATTAATGCCGAAGATTGATATCGGAGTGGACTTTTCCCATTCTACAAAATCCCCACATGAAAAAAGATTCCATATATTATCAAATGACAACTTCTCCATCTGAAATGCCCAATTAAATAACAAATAAGTATCTTATTAGTTTAAAATAAATTAAAAAATATAAATCATTTTGAGAACAATTTTAAGTGTCCAATTTTTAAAATAATGACTAAATAACGATATTTAATTTAAATTTAGGGAACTCTTTAAAAATAAAATTATACATATTTATTCCAAAAGTTTCCAGGTATTGTTTATTTGGCTATAATTGAATTTGTTACTATTAACAAATATATATTTTTTATGAAATCTTGCAGTTAGAACATTTTGAAAATGATCTTAATATTGTATCTAAATATTTAAGAAAATCTCCTAGATCCACATTTTTAAACCATGCCTCAAAAAAATGAAGTAATATTAAGTGATTAGTATTTGCAATATTTAAATATGAAACTTAAAGTAGCGTTTGTAAGACTTTTGAAAAACAGGCGAGCTTCCATACATAATTCAACACATGAATTAGTCTAGTCCATTTGTTTGAAGGAGAAAAAAATTATCAAGTGTCGTCTTTCAGTCATTTTTTTTGGGTAAACTTATAGTATTTTTTAATGTCAAATCAATCAAAAATTTAAAGTATTCCTGCAAAATCCCTGTTCAAGATCTGAAATTTAAAAATATTTTAGGGCGGGTTCTGGCCCAAAAATTAAAGGGGCCAAAGGCTCGAAAATTTTTAGAGTGCCACTCGTATTTATTTTTTTCTACAGTAACCGGATGTCTTTTTGCCATTTTTTTCTCCATTTTTTGTAACATAACAATCTGCGTTCATATTCACGAAAAGATGGCATTTCAAATCGTTTTAAGGGATTGTAATATAATTCAAATTAAATATTTATTTTAAAATGGCGAACAAAAAATAAAATAAATATTTCTATCACATGATTAAAAAATAAAACAATTATATTAATCCATTTCAAAATAATGCGAAAATAAATGAATATTTTAAAATTAATTTGTAAAGGTGGGTTTTCGTATTAAGAGGTCGCGTTTAGAAAACAAGCTAAAAAGACCCTGTTGTCCTTGGGCCACCATATGTTATTTGCGAGAAACGTAAACTTGAAGATTTAAATTTTTTTATGATGGCTTGTATCTCAGTTTCTTTTGCGCTTCATACTGTCTTATTTCTGCGCGGTTCAAGAAAGACATTCTATCCACGTAACTGTCCTTGCCTTTGGCAAAACTATCCAAATCTTTCCTGAAAAGTTCTGATTCAACATTATCTTCGAGTTGCGAATTATCGGTCGAACCAGGTTTATGAAGCCCGCCGGCTGTCGTTTGAAACTCTTCCCAACTTTTTTGAGTCATTTTTAGGATACTGGATTTGGATTTTCGTTTGTTACCGGAGAATTGAGACAATTTGTCCAGACTAATGTTATTTCCGGTTTTGCTACCATTTTTGAGAATTATGGATGAAGAAGATGTGCGAAGTTTATTCTCGGTCGTTTGAGGGAGATCATTAAAAAGGCTCTTATGAATGGCGGGAGTTGTGGTGGACGAATTTGATGCGTTATTTGTGGGTAGATCGGAAAGATTTTCACTTACTGACGTGCTTGAAGGAGCCATTATTCTTAAATTTGTAAAACAATTGATTTATTATAAAAATGTTCGGGTATGACTAAAATACGAATATTCACGAATTCGCATTAGTGTTATTAATTATCCGGGCCCAACCCAAATAAGTGGGCACATTTAGTCGATATTGGGAATAAATTTTTTTATAAATCGAATCCTCCAAAATAAGTCGAGTTCTTAGGCTGAACCCCGCTACTATTTAAAAGCACCGGTTCGAATACACCGGAAATTCAAAAAAAAAGGAATATGTGTCACATATATACATCGTCGAATGGGTGAGGATTATAGTGTTCTAAAGTGTTGTTAAAAGGCTAGATTTAGGCCGATTTTTAAAAAGGGCTAACTCAACATTATAGCCAGGAAAATATGGCCTAAGCTTCGAGCATTCGCCAATAGATGTTCAATCCAATGTGCCATTTATGAGCAAAATCTTTAGGCTTGCATAATATTTTTTTGGGTAAAATAACGAGTTAGCCGTTTTTAAAAATCGGCTCAAATTGAGCCGTTTAACAACACTTCTATATCCACTTTTTGCGGTCAGGTATACCCTACGGAATCGGGCCAAGTAAAAGAAAATAACTGGGTGGGAGAAGTCGATACGAAAAAATAAATATTGCAGATCTTAAACTTATAGTATTATGATAACGCAGGAAAAATGAAAGTATGATTTTAATTAACATTATTTTTTTTTAAGTTCTATTTCTTATTTTCCATTTTTCAATCTATTCACACATTAATATTATAAAAAAAAAAATCTACTTTCTTCTCAGCCCTCTGACAAGAACGAAATTTTTTAGTGTTTATTGTTTTTTTTATCAATTTTATTGAAATACATGCAAGTAATACAGTTTTTCTAAAAAAGATTTTTCACCCCTCACACTCTTTTTTACGTTTTAAAAGAAAAAAAAATATTAAAACTGTCGAGATAACTGTATGAGTAGTAAAAGTAATAACAATTTCCGGTAATATTAATTACTTTAGTTTAGTATTGTTAAACTGCTAACCCAATTTTTTATCCAAAAAATAGAGATTTTGCCCGTAGATGACAGAGAGGTTTGGACAATTTATTAACGATATCTCGAGGCGTGTGTGATATTATTTTTGCTAAAATTATCGAAATTTAGCCATTTAAACAATACTACTTTAGCTTTATTTGTTATATATATATGTGTGTGACGTTATGGGATATGCAATTCATGATGATTTAGAATATAGATTTCACATTATTTACTCAAGAGATTTTTTAAATTTGAAAATCTGATTTAATCTAAAATGCATTCAGGTATGTGTAGAGTAGTATTGTTTAATGGTCCCATTTAAAAAAACGCACGTTGAAGATTTTAGCCAAAATAATATTATGTATGCCTTGCGATTTGGCAAATAAGAGGTCAAAACCTTTATGCAGGCTTATACAAATTATTATTTTCGCTAAAATTTTAGTGGGGCTGTTTTTAAAAAATCGACACAAATCAGGAGTAACACCAGTGTAGAATAACCTACAGAATTTCAGCCATAAACCTTTATGTATACATAATCAGATTGTTTAAATTTAAATATCGGCTTCAGAAAATGATTTAAAATTTGGGATTCCAATACAAGATATGAATACTATTCCATGTCAAAATCGATTCAAGGATTTGACCAGCCCTTATTTAAAAAAAAATTAACGCAACTTGGTGTTGATATTGTAAAAATTTTAAGGCTCTAGCCCAAATTGAAGCGTGAATGGCTCTCAAAGTCAAATCCAGTTGGGATCTCAGTTATAAGTCAAATTACTTGATAAATTTGGTACAAATGTATAAATTTAATACTTATATGTAGTGTTGTAAACGAACGCGTTCAAAATGAACGCTTTTGTGAACGGTTCGTTTTTTTGAAAAAAATGATGAACGGCGTTCCTTTTATTTTTGACGAACTTTGAACGTGAACGCGTTCCTTTTTTATGACGAACGCGTTTGAATTTAACCTTCGTTCAATTTTAAAAATACTTTTTATTTTTATTCATTTGAAAAATTTATTATTTCCGAATTTTTTTAAAAAAAATGTATTATTTATATTTTTTAATCGGCTGTGTATTTCCTTTTCACATCTTAATTTTTTAACAAATAGTTTATTAATTTGAATATTTTTGTTTATATTTTAATTTAATAGATTAGAATAAGCATGGATATTATTATTTAATCCTCATCACCTGATTCTAAAAATCCAAAATCAGATGAATTATCATTACTATATCCAAATATGATAAATGTTTTACATTAACATCCTATATTGAAAAAACTAATCCAATGCTTACCAAGTGTAAAATGTGGTCAAAAAGTATTATATTGTCAAAATCTCCAAGTTCCAATTTAAAACGACATTTGATTTTAATATTAATTATTTGATTTTATATGATGTAACTAAGTTAAATCATTAAATTTGAACAAATAATGCATTTGGGATATTTGACCCCAAAACGATAGATATTTTAAAATTAGAAAAATTAGTGGCCTGGTCAACCATTGATAGATGCCGTATTAAATGGGATTAATAAAAGGTATTAAACCTATCACTCTCAATTAATTACATATATTTTATTTTTTTAAAGATTTGAACATATATATATAAGGATCAATATGTTCTTTCTGCAATTATACATCCAGCATTCAAACTTCAATGGTCATAGATAAAACTTTCACAGAACAAACCTATTAAAAATAAACTTATAGCTTATTGAAAAAAATGCTTTGAAAACCCTAGAGAACGTTCATTTCGAGATATCCTTTTTTTGTCGAGAGTAGAGAATGGATTGGAAGAGGATAACTTATCTCAATTTTTTGCAAATTAATTCTACACGTTAAACGAGCTGTCTATTATGTACCGCAATCCCCTCATCTGCCCCTCTAGAGTGTGTTTTTAGGCTAATGCCGTATTAACTGGCAAGTGTTCCTGTCTATCAGATAAATATTTTGAAAACAATTGTTATTAAAATTTAATAAGAAAAATTTTTATAAATAAAAATATCTTTTTATTTACTATATTATATTATATTTATAATTATATTATCAAAATAAAACTATATTATTTTTTAACATGGATAAAATTATTTAAATTTTAAAAAAATTTATCATAAAATTTTGAATGGTTTTATGAACGTGAACGTGTTCCTTTTTTGAACATGAACTTGAAGGTGTTCAATTTTTGTCAATGAACATTAAACGCATTCGATTTTTTTGAAATGTTTATAGCACTACTTATATGTGTATAACTGATATATTACATATATGATTATCTATCATTTAAAAGCTATTGTTAGAAATAATTATCATATATGATAAAAATAGGCATTGAAATAAAACAAACTTTCTTATTTGAACTTCATTTTTTGAACATTATAAAAAATAGTCAAAAATGCAAGGCTTATAATAAAAAAATATTAAATCTGAGCTAGATCAAGATTAAAATGTCTATCCCACAGGTATAAATTATATTGCCCAATAATTATGCATTATAAAATATTAAAAAGATAATACACTCTATATTTATGGTTTTCATTCACAAAATTATGAAAAACAAAATAATTTTAAATTTCTTCATTCTAATTCCTACATAAACCTCTAAGCATATTTCAAATAAACATATCTAGTAAGTTTCATTGTCCTAATTGGGGTCAAAATACTTAAAAATTTGCTTCATAAAACTGTAATGAAAATTTAAAAAAAATAATTATTTTTGATTTTCCATTATAAAAGGTTAAAACTTATTTATGTAGAAAACAATTTTTTCAGAAAAATGTCATAAGGTTTTGCAATGTAGCTAACAATATTTGTGTAATCAGTAATAATAAAAAAATTTATGATTTACTTTGTGGCATTGTCAAGTTTCTTTAAATCACATGTGGTATTTGACTCAACATTTTTCTATATAAATATTCTGAAATAAAATATATGTATAATAATAGTAGCTAACCTTTACATAGGATGCTTCTTTATTAACACAATTTAGAAAATTTGACCATAACTCATTGGGTAGCTTATTTTTATTTAATTTATCAATATCATTTTTATCTTCTATAAGATTCAAACTTCGATTGATTAAAATATTTGATTTAGTTGTCTTTGAGTTACGTTTTCTTTTACATCTTTTTGTTTTATTGATTAAGACAGAACTTTAAAAAAAATTGATTTTTTGACAAATTTAGAGTATATACTTATTATCTTCTGTTTCATCCTCTAAAATGTCATCTTCGGCCTCCTCGCTTAAATCATTATCTTCAGCTTTATAAATATATTAATTATGAACAATAAAATGAAATATTTACGCTGTGGTATATAATCTTCATCACTTGATTCCGAAAAATCGTTTTCAATCATATTCTTAATGAGTGAACATTAAATTTGTTTATCAAATAAACAAAATATTGTCCGGTTTACAACTTTCAATTTATATTTTCAAAAATAATAAATAAAGAATCTCAATTACAGTTTTACAATTCTATAAATAAAAGGTATTTGTTGGATTTTCTTTCATTCAGAAGGTTTTTTTTGAAACTCATTATTTATATAGTATTCCTTTTTATTTTACTATTTCCATGGGTTGAAATTAATTTTTATAAGCTTTTAAATATTTTTATATGATATTTAAAACTTGCAAGACAATTTTACTAAAGAAAATTATACATAAAAAATAACTAAACAATTATATATAAAATTAGAATTAAGAAAAGGTTATATAACTAACATTTTAAAGAAGCCAACGTTTATAAATTTGTTAAAAATAAAAAAAGCTTCGACGATACTAAGGACTCTAAAGATATTATAATATAACAGTGGCGAAGCGTCCATAGAAGCAAGGGAAGCATTGCTTCCCTTGAAATTTTTCTTACAAAATTTTTAAATAAACTTAATATAATCTTTGTACTATGCTAAATAAACTAAACTGACTTCGTTAATAAAATTAATATAATTTTTATAACGATAAAAAGATTAATATAATTTTTATAACGTTAAAAAGATTTATATAATTTTATAACGTTAAAAAGAATAATATAATTTTTATAAAGTAAAAAAGAATAATATAATTTTTATAACGTTAAAAAGAATAATATAATTTTTATAACGTTAAAAAATTAATATTTTTACTATATTAAGAAATACTATTATTTTTACTACGTTAAAAAAGTTATTATTATTTATACTACGTTAAAAAATTTACTATTATTTTTACTACGTTAAAAAAAATATACATGAGGGAAGCAAATTTAATATTGCTTATTTTTTTTAATAAATAAAGAGAAAATCATGCCATGGTATGTAATTTTACCATTAAAAAATAAGGATTGGGGAAGCGAATAAAAAAATGCTTATTTTTTTAATAAATAAAAGAGAAATTTTTTTATATAATATTTTTTTCCTTACTGTTTTTAAATAAAAAAAATTTTCGTTTTTAAAATCCTTAATTAATATTTAATAATTGTAATTGTATTATTGAAAATTTATTAACATTATCATTTAGCTCAAAAAATTTTGATGCGAAAAAATTGATTATTGAAAAAGGAAGACCAAAACCAATTTTACAAAACTTAAAAAAAAAATCAAAACTGGCATCCGTAATTTTTCTATCGATAAATATGAAAAATATGAATGACTCACTAGATGTGAATTTTCTAATTCTCTATATTGTTGGTCATTCCTATTATTCCCAAAGGAAAAATATGTTTGGAATGATAAATATTTTCGGATATGAATAATTTTTTGAGGCAGTTAAACGGCAAAGAATCAACCTCTCATTTGCAGTCGATGATTCAATTAAAAACATTTGGCCAAAATTGTATTGAAAATATGATAGATTCGATGCGCAAAATATCAATCGAACAGCATAATTCTAAAGTCAAATCAAATAAAGAAATATAGATCAACTCTATGTGTTTTCTTGAAATTCAGCGTATTCCGTGGTAATGATGAATAGAGGAAATTATATTGTATTAATTAATTTGCTCACGGAAGAAAATTTACTATTTAAACATCATTTAGAAATAGTGCAGTTTTTATTGTACTATCAAGCAATATTCACAATGATTTGATTAATTCTATTTCATATGTCTTGCACCAAAAAATATCAAATTCGTCGAAATGTTAGATATTAGTAAATTACAAATAATCAATTTCTCAAAATATTAATTAGAAAATTTAAACGACACTTATTCTCAATTTTTTGAGTTACACATACTGGAAACCGAATTAAAGGTAGTGTTTCGAAATGTTAAATTTAGAAAGAAAAGATTGTTATAGAAATACTTGAATTTTTAATATGCACCGATTTGATGAAAAGTTTTAAAGAGTTTTTTAAATTCATCTTAACTTTGGCTTCAACAACAGCAAGTGCAGAATGGAGTTTTTCATCTTTAAAAAGAATCAAATCTTATTGCAGAAACAGGATGAGCCAAAATCGATTATCGAATCTATCTTTGATTTCTATTGAAAAAAAATTATTAAAAAATTTAAAATCTAGCGATAACTTTTATAACGCACTACTTGATCATTTTACTCAAAAACAAAGACCATTTATTTATAAATCTTAATGTTTTTATGGTTTGAGTTTGACTAAAATAAAAATATTTTTTTGATTGCTTCCCTAGTAGTAAACTTGACGCTTCGTCACTGTAATATAATACATTTTAAAAACAAAGTAGTCACTTTTAAATATCCTGAAGATTTTAAGAGGGAGAAACGGAACAAGATGTAAATAAGTCAATTTTTAAAAAAAATATCGAAATTGTAAACATTTAAAACAATATAAATGACGAGTAAATTTTCTGCACTTAAACAAGATAGCTGCAATAATATGAAAAGAAATATAATTAGAAAGAGTCATTTATTCAAATGAATCGAAAAGCTACCATTTAAATTATTTTTTTATAAACTTTTATTTTTTGGTAAATATAAAATTTTTCTATCTAAAAGTGGCTGTAATACTTGATTATATTTACCTAACTTGTAAAATGTGATTTTTTCTACCCTCTCATCTTAATCACTTATTGAATAAATTATGCTATCATAAATCCTCCTTTATAAATATAACAAATTATAAAACGACAAACATTAAGCCTCAACGGAGATAACTAAGATGCAAATATATTTAATAATTCAAAATAGTACGTTACCAAATACCACCTCTATTTTTTCTCATATAAATTATTGGGCTTGGGCGGGGGGATATTTATTATTTAATTAAGGTCTCTAATCATTTTTTTGATCTATGTATGACATTTAATTTTTCAAATTATAAAGTTGAGGACGAAAAAAAATTCTAGGGGTATCCAGTCATGGGCAATATATTAATGTTAGATGGTTTAAATAGTTAATGAAAAAAAAAACTTACAATTTTAAGATGACAATCGCAACCTTAAACTGTCATTTTCAATATTTTATGAGGGAGTTTTTACAATTTCTAAATATGTTCAATTTATAAAATGGGTTTTTAAAAAAATTAAAAAGTTTCAATGGCAATTTAAAAAATATATAATTATGAGCATTCATGATTTCATTAATGTCTATTCAGCAATTTCAATTTAAATGAAAGACTCAAAATATTCGATAACTATTGATTTATTAGAAATCTATTATATTAAATAGCATATTTTCTTGTGAATTACTTAAATTATTTAAATATCTACAAATATATCATAAATAAAAACATGTTATGTGGAAAATGATATATTTGAAATATAATATATTACATAATAATGAATGATAAGGATAATATATAAATATAATTTGTATGCATTATTATAATTTAAATTATAAATTTAAAAGTAAAAAAATAACAATAAAATTGAATTTATTCATAGCCCAGGCATGATAAAAGCAATATTATCCAATATTTTAGAGAATATGAATCTTTGTTTTTCGTCAAAAATATTTTTAACCACAGGGACCAAAGTTGTCTGCTTATTTCCCTTCTTGTCATCTTCGAATTTTTGGTTTAAAGCATCTATTCCTTCATTCGATAGGGAGTTATCGTCTGGTTTATTACCTTTTTCTTTTTTAAAAAAACAGATTGTACATTTAAAACGTGATCTCCCATATAAATAATTATAAACAATATATTCTTTCCAAAAATTATTTAAATAAATAGCGAAGAAGTTCTAAATATTTTCGTTAGCGCCATAGCGAAAGTTTTAATGTTTATAATTTTTATCCTTTTATTCTTATTCTTAGGATAATCATGGGAAATAAGTGTGAAAATTAATTCCTATCTTAATGCAACCTCAAGACGGGACCCGTCATATTTGGATATAGCAAATGTTTAAAAATAAAATATCTTACATTAAATATGTATCGTTTTAATTTCAAAATTAATATAATTTATTCTACTTATATAACATTAAAAAAATACAGCAAGATTAAACCCTCTATGGCATGATGTCAACCCAAGAAAATGTTCTAAATATTTTAGTACTATAACTAAGACAGCGACGTTTATAGTAACCCCGATTTCGCTCAAAAATAGCGAGACATCGCGTTGCTTACAAAATACCTATCCGCGTTTACAGTTCAGGCGATATTCGCGGCGAAGTACACATTGATTTAAATATAATCATTTAATATTCATCTATTTGTATATTTCTCCGCGAAATAGGGCTAACTGTAAATGCAGGGTATATAAAAGAAAGCTAAAAGAGTGGAGTGATAGCAGCATGATCAAAACACGACAAGACATTTATCTGACATTCCATATATAGTGGTCGCACAAGCATTATTTTTTTTTTATAAATGATATCTGTTAGTATTCTAGATTAATTTATTATATCCTTAAATGCAAAAGAAAATAAATATTAAATGTTTGAAAAGGTAAGAAATGAGAATATTTTAGGATTTTACAGTTAATTAATTATGGATACATGTTACAAGCATAACAGCAGATATTTAAAAAAAACCTCAAAAGTTTCTAAAGAAAGCGAGATTATGATTAACCCTGAATTGCATGGTAAATTTAGAGACAAAAATGCTTCTCAATATGATATTAAAGTAGTGCAAGCGGGAATCATTCCCCAAATAATATAATTAGATTGGGTTTGTTAAAATATTATGGTAATACACTACAAATAAATTATTAATTATTCTGAAATATATAAAAAAATTCTAAAAACAAACAATATCCTCCTGAGTTGTGGTAGAAAATAATTGTGCACCTGCATGTGAGATCTTCATGAGGTGGGTTGGCCTGCACGTTAATATCATATTTTCTAGCAGGCCTAGGTCTTTAAAATTATTTAATGGGGTTGGGCCTAAAATTATTATATTTAAATTTAGCTTATTTAAAACAGTTGCTAACTTATAGAAATATTGCCTTTTTTTTCTTCTAATAATAATGAATTTCAGTATTGTAAACAAAATGATTGCCTATATACACTTAAATATCGTTTATTTTTTATTAAATACAATAAATTAAATTTTTGGATATGGGTTTGGGCCAGACTTAGGATATTTTTTTTACTGCGGGCCTGGCCTGGGCTTGGTCAAAAAATAAAGGCCCATGAAAATCTCTGATGTGCACGTTAGTGAGGCCATATGGAGGCTGCTTGTCAACAATAATAATATGCATGATGGTTCCCATGCTATCATTAAAATCAGTAGTTATTCATTTACCCTGATTTTATTATAAATATTTTTTCCATTTTTTTAACATTTGAAGGGTAGAGTCCAAGTTAATTATTCAATTGAATGAGGAGGGGGGAGGGGGTGGCGGTAACAATATTACGATTTTCTCATTTTTCAACCGCATAAAATATTTTTATTATGAGGGGGAAAATATGCTTGCATTAAATTAACTTATTTACCAGTAGGTATTTCCATTTCGTCGATAGGTTGAAGTGGGAGTTGTGAAGTTAAACACATAAGTGGTCCAAGGGCGCATATGAGAGAATCTAGTAGAACTGAGAGACTTCCTTGAACCGCAATTTGTCCCTGCATGCAAAATGATGATATACAAATAAATTAAACGCCTTTTAATATATTTTTAATATGTAGAATGTAGATAGGGGAAATAAATTTTTTAAGAAAAAAGTCAGACTACAAAAAAAATTTATCAATTTAAAATATCTTGTTGAAAATTGTTATTTTTAATGCTTTAATAGTACTATATCTATATTATTTATTTTATACCTTTAACCCATAAATGGTCTACGTTGTTTGTATATATGGTATAATTACTTTTTATTGATTTTTCACATTTTATATATTAATGTTTGAGTTAAAAATTTATTCCTTATAAATATCTTAACCTATTCTATTTAGTTTATGTCCATCATTTTATTTTCACTCGAATTTATCATATAATTACCATGTATGCAACGTTGACCAAATAGTGGCAACATAAAATATCCCATTTTTTTAAAGTAAAAATATTTCTAATGGCATAAAAACTATTATTTCATCATATATTCGATAAAAAAGATTTCCCAACCTCCAAAATTAAGGTCAGGTGAGATGCAGAATTCGAGATAAATAAGCTTAAGCTATAGCCATATACTCAAAATATTCTTTAGAATATAAAGATATATCATCATATAACATTTTTTATTGTGGTAATTCTCTTACCAATAGTCGATGAAGCAGTATTCCAGCGTTTCTGGTAAGGTCTAAATGTAATGAGAATGTAGTATTCATACTTGTACTCTTCAGGAAGTTTTTTTATAACTGAGACTAAAAAAGAAAATTTTGAATCCCCTAGCAATAAAAAATTAAGACGAGAAGGAACGCCGTGATATTTAGTAAAATACTAGAACTAACACTATGTAGTAAAATATACTAGAACTAACACCCATGATTAATAATAACATTTTATTATATGAAAATTCATTTTCACATGATAACTCGCTATATTTAAAAATATGTTTTAATGTTTCCATGAGAACAAACAGGATTTTTAACTTACTTTATATCTAAATTTTAAATAATAGCAACTTGCCAAAGTATAGGAGTTAGACCCAGTAGATATCTCATTACAAAATACTTTTAAAGAAATAATTTTTCAAATTTTATTTATAGAAAATACATTTTGGAGCTTTATTTTTGTCGTATGCTTCACTTTCTAGCAGGATTAAATAAATGAGCAGTCAAATTTAGATAATTTGTATGTTGCAAGGTCTACCTTGTTAAAAGCTCCTCATTACAAAAAAAATCACTCAAAATATATAAGGAATACCTCAACATTCCGAAAAATGTGTGCTTATTTAAATTTACAGTTTGCCTTAAACACAAGACACATTTCCTAGAAATTGTGACAATGGTTGATAAACATACAAACCATGATTTAGGTAAAATTATACATTATAATCATTTGAATTTCTTCCTAAACAAAGAGTGTTATCTCTTGAAGAGAGGGAATCAGTAGAAAAGTATTTAAGCATAAAGACTAACAAGCTAAAAATCAAAGAATCCATGTAAAAAAGGAAAAAATATGACCCTTAAATTCACAATGTACAGACAAATCAATAAGTTCAAGTGTAATGATTTAGCCAGCATTTTTCAGCTGCTAAAAGGAAATAAAGATCAATTGTTTTAGGTGACTGAAGAAAATGATATTATGCTAGGATTTTACTTTCAAGATGATATGATGCATAATCTCAAACGATAATCCTAGGTTATGTTAGTGGATGCAACCTACAAGTTAAATAATTACGAGATGCTTCTGTTCATTACCCTAATAATTGATGAAAAGGGTGAGTCACAAATAGTTTCACTTTGGCTTTTACAAGGTGGCGACAAGGCAGCTTTATACAAGTTAAAAAATCACATGCACACGATTTTAGTGTGACTTTAAATTCTGCACCCTTTTCACTGGCCAACTTATGGAAAAAAATAATATCAATATTAAATAGATGAATTTGATTATGAAGTGAGATTTTATTTAGAATTATTTTAAAGGCATATGGGGTTAAAAGAATAGAATAAGAATTTTCTGGGGGATAAAATGCATAAGTGACTACTGGTAGCCTCTCAACACAAATATATTTCTATGACGCCTTTCAAAGACCTGAGAACAAACTACTGTTGATAAATGTGAAAAAAGGTCATTTAAAGGAGAATATTTATTTACAACTCTTTTAATCTTTTGAGATAGAGATTGCGATTTTTAGTAAAATTATCACCCATTCTTTTATAATAAAGTAACAATGCTTATTAAAACACAATGAAACTAAGGGCAATTCAAAATCAATAAGTTTCCCATAAAGATAATTGTACATATCTTTAGTCTTACTATATACCATTTTCTTCAGTATTTGCAGCACTATTTTAACCTCGGATGAAGTAAATCTCTCTTTTAAATATCCTAAAAATAAATATGTGAATACTCACTCATGGGAAACTATCATAGAAGGCACTTCTATTAGCTATATCTTTATCAGCCACAATAACAAATATAATGTGCTGAGACCAGAAGTCACTTATGCATTTTATACCCCAGAAAATTCGTATTCTATTCTTTTAACCCCATATGCCTTTAAAATCATTCTAAATGAAATCTCATTCCATAACCATCTATTTAATATTGATACTATTTTAAAGCATGCGTTGGTCAGTGAAAAGGGTGCAGAATTTAAAGTCACACTAATCGGGTACACGTGGTTTTTTAAATTGCATATTGCTGCCTTGTCGCCACTTTGAACAAGGCAAAGTGAAACCAGCAATAATTTAACTTGTAGGTTTTATCCACGAACATAACCTCGGGATAATTATATGTAAAAAAAAATAATATTATTTAGGATAAAGAAAATATTATCAATAATATTATTAGAGTTTGATGTATTACTTTTTAATTAAACCCTAAGAGATAAAATTTTTTTTTATCCTTTTATAAAAATTATTGCGGAAAAATTTATGACCATTGAAAATGGAACGTTTTTAATTTTTCAGGAAAAGGAGTGGAAAACGCGAGAAATATTCAGTGTCCCGTAATAATATTAAACGATCATTTATTATAATTCAACATGTACCACGTGCATCATTAGACGATCGCCCAAATTAGATAAACACTCCCCTAAAAGTTTTAAATAAGCAGCGGAGTCTATCACATCTGTCCCATTCATCTACAAAATACAAAAAAAAATGTAAGAAATATTTCAGATAAGATATTCAAATATCTGTCATAAATGTATCCTAAGAAATCAGATGTCATAATTAGGGAACCTACATAGGTGCACATTTGCAGGCCCTGTCTGCCCGAGTTCAAATTTTTGACCCGGTCCAACTGTACCCTGACAAAAATTTATTTTAGGGGTTTGTCCATACCTATGGGTCCCACTAGAGCTATACAAGAAAATGTCAAAGAAAAGAGTCGTAATTTAATGATTGAATTTGCTATCCATATTCCCTACATTTCTCGATTTTTACTTACCTTCCCTCCCCTATTCCTTAACACATTTTCATTTGTTCCTCAAAATTTTTTTTTTACTACCCATTGTAAATTGATATCAATTATATTATTTTGTTAAAAATGCTTATGATAAAAAAAAAATATTAAAACTTTGAAATTGTAATCGGGATCATTGTCGATGGGGAATTCCATGGATGAATATCTCTTGTTATTTTTGTTGATTCGCTCTGTAATAAAAAAAAATGTATATTAATTTTTGTAACGAAATATGATTTAATTTGTTAATATTCCGAGGAATCAGGGTTTTTGATTTGGAACTTTGTTTTAAAAAGTAATAAATACACCCTCCGAAAATGAATCGCACATTTTCATTGGTTGTATCTGGGTTCTGGTTTTTACAAATTTTATGAGAGCGATTTCAGGTAACGTTGTTAAATATCATCTAACTTTGACCAGCTCTATTGCAGCTTTGCCAAGCTTTTGGTCTTAAAAATTTTAAACCTTTAAGTTAAGGTCTCAACTTGAAGATCAAAATGAATATTTGATGGATAAAAATTTGACTATGCAGTTATACATTTGGCCAAAGTTAAGTAATTTAGCAATACTAGTTCCAGGCTCTGACTTCTTTTAATTAATTGCTTCGTCATAAAGGCAGTCACGTTTATATTGAATAGGGATCAAATTGCAAGGATACAACAAATAAAAATTTTTTATATAAATCGGTACAAACTTTTATAAGATTTGGATCCTGATCTGATGTCTTCACCATATTCCGCTATCAACTTTTCCGTCATTTTCTTCGCTCTACGCTTCCAGGACTAATTTTTTTTTTAAAAAGAGTAAATTTTGGGTTGAATTTTAATAAGAATCGGTTGATTAAATTAATTTTGATATTTTTTATAAAAATAACCACATATACTCCGTTTAATAATGAGGGTCTCCATTGGGCCTATTTCAAAAACGAATGGAATAGTTAATTATTGGTATCTGAGACCCCAGCCTGGCCCAGCCCGTGTTAATATTTTTTTAAATATACCTGGGCAGAGACGGGCCTGAAAATTTAAAAAAAAATATCTGGGCCGGGCCATATATTTTAAAACCAAATATTTGAAATAGCCATTATTAGCTAAAAAAAATAAATAAAATATATTTAACAAAAACAGCACGGACCAGGCCGAAAATAATGTTTGAAAAAAAAATCCGGGCTGGGCCATACAAATGGTACCTCTGCAGGTCTCTGATTGGTATTGTTCCTTTTTAAAAGGTTTGAACAGTCCTACTACTTGTAATTTAAACGCCAGTAAAATAAGAACTTGTAAATGTTATCATTCGTACAAATACGAAATTATTTGATCGAATAAAAAAGTTCCCACTTATAAATCACCTTTTTTTTAGTCATATAATGCTGTCCCTTTTTAGGTAGTGTTCTCCTCTCGTCTAATTAGCCCTAGGACATAACATGTTTGAAAAAAGAGATGTGATAAAATAAAAGACTATATATATATCCTCTAAAATTAAGAGGAAAAATGGAATATGCGATCAATAATAGTATCAATATTGATCTAGAATAGGATCACCGTCTCCTCGACGGGGTGTGAAAACCACATTAAGGGGTTGATGTCAGGAAGGGCATACGATTGTAAAAACCTTGCTACAAAATTTCCTAATGATTAAACCAGAGAGAAAACTGGCCAACCTGGAAATCGCTATTAAACGGAGAAGAAGGGAAGATATAATATAATAAAATATTCCCAATTTTTTTAGCAATATTTGTTTCGGCGTTTTATAACATATATTAATTTAAAACCCTTGATAAGCGGTTTTGATTACCATATATAGGACTTAATTAGTTAATATAAAGAGCCTATCACTTTTTGATAATTTATGAAATAAAAAAAAAAAATTTAACCATTTTTTCTTTGTGAGCCAATTTCGTCCAAGCTTCCCCTAAGATTCTGCTGATTTGCCCGAAATCTAAAATAATTTATATTTTAAAAAAAAACGCGAAATATAATTGAGAATTATTAAAAATTACTAGCATTTTAAGACTTAATAATCTTTATCAAGGACATGGAATAAAAACGCGGGAACTGGGATTTATGAAGAGCGTTCTCGAATTGATTATATTTAAAACCATAAGCGTCAGTGAGGGCATGACAAAAGCGTGCGGAGTAAACTCAGCTTTACTCAAAGCAGCTTTAAATGAAAAGATGTGGAAACGCGATCCTCCTAAAAACTTTCTCAAGTTCTCATCCCTCGATCCTTACTTATTCATTCTTCACAAATAAAATTATCGAGAAAGTTAAATAATAAAAGCATGTATTAATATCAAGGAGGGGGGCTATCTATTATCAATCGGTTTAAATTAAATTTCGGCACAATTAAATTCCCTTTTTCTTTCATTTTTGACTTATATTCAAAATATACATTTATATGTATAAGTACGTTTACCTAATCCCGGCTGGAGACCTTTTCTTTGATTCGCGCACCACAAAGTATAGGCAGTAATTTTCTTGCGTTTCCTATTCCCCTTTTTTTTATATAAATTTTTGAAATTAACTTGTAAATGTCGCATGGAAATTAAAACAATTAACAAAAAAAATAAGTAAAAGGTTCACACTAGATTGTATAATTTCTAAATTTATATTAGAGATTCGCTAGACTATTATAAAATAGAAATCTGCAAGTCAGGATCGGATTGGTCCTATACCAACCGGCGCTATGTCAAGACCAAATTATGCCAACTTAGGCAAGGCATGTAAAATGTGCCAACCTCCATAAGGCATCTTAATATGGATAAGAAAGAAAACCAGGGGTAAGATAAAACATTTTGAGGGGTAAAGAAAGCAACAGAGTTGGATGACCGAATAGGAAATAATAAAAAGTGGACAAACTTTAGTAGGAGGTAAACCGCTTTCTCCCACTCGTTCTCCGTTATCATCATTTAGGGATGAATCGAAATTATCGTTAGCTTCACTGTCAGATATTTCTCTGTCCATAGTAGAATCACCTGTCCTCGATGTATTTTGGTTGTATTCTGACATTATTTTCTGAAATAATGAATATTTTATTTTACAAGATGATATAAATACTTGGTCTGTGAATTCCTTTATAAAAGATATCAATTTATCTTTCTTTCTTTCTCTTTCTCTCACTCTCAAAAGTGTCACCGATTAAGTTAAATAATAGGAAAACTAATTTAATAAGATCATAAATGTTATAATGTTGTCGATGACAAAAAGTGTCGATGACCACTTAAGAATCGATTCTGTTTACTAAAGGTCTAAACAAAATAAAAATCTGCCTTTTTTTAATAGTAATTGAAGGGATCATATAAAAAAAAATCTAGCTCAAATTAAGACATGCCCATAAGCGAATGAATGATAATTATAGAGAAAAGAATTTTACCATGGGTGTAGCTCTGATATCACCGCGACTTTCATTTAACGCGTTTCCCATTCCTTCATTCGTGTTTGGTTTTTTAAAAAATTTATATATATAAAATTAAATATCTTATTAAAGCACAATAAAACTCATTTTTAGAGCGTTAAAAAACGAACAGTCTTATAACAGGCGTTAGGGATTGCGATTTTTATTTATAACTGAATACGATATATAAAATAAAAATAATTCGAATGGTTTTAGTGCCGTAGGAAATGAGTAATATACTTTTTTTGGTGCGTATTTTTTATAAAAAAAATTGGCTAATATGGTAGAATTTTTATCAGAGACCCTGGGTACATGAGCCGGTAATCATATGTTTTTAAATATACCCGAAGATATACTGACTGATTACTTGATAATTTAAATTTTATAAAAAAAAATTGGCCAGACCTGCCATTTTTTTTGCCCTGCAATGTTTAAAAATAACACGCATTTTTTTGTCAACATAAAGACCTAACGCCACGCAACTCACTCAAATTGACCTCTAATTATTTATTTCACTTCCGACAAAATTTCATTGCCCCTTTAATTTCACATTTTTTTAAAATATATCTCGTTTAGGTATAAAAGTGATATTAGAGGTTTTAATTCATTGAGGAGAATAAGTTTATTAATAAAAAATATATAGCATGACAAAAAAATGATTACTGTTGCTAATATGTTACATGAGATAGTAATACGATAATACCGTACCTTGATTTTTAAGGAATCTGGCAAACACTTCGGTATATTTTTGGCCACCATTCCCTCCACCAGTACTCATTTGATTATTAAATGTCATTGCACGATTATTGAAGGTCATCATTCTATTACCGCTGGGACCAGAAACGAAGTTGGCAGATGGCGATGGATCGTTCATTCCCTTGAAACGAGTGGCTGCCGTCGCGTTGAGAAAGGGGTCCACGACCACGGATTTTAACATGGCAGAACCGGCCACGTTTATTCCCGTGCCAGCGTTACTACGAACCACAAAGAGATTCTGACGAGCCGCCGTTTTGGTAGAATTAGTTGTTGTTCCAGAAATGGGTAAAGAAGACGATAATATGTTAATTAGATTAGAAGCAGACGATAATTGTCTTGGAATATTTCCGGCGGCAACAAGGTATCTAGCAGAACCACCAGCTAATATAATATATAAATTAAGAATAATATTTTTTTATATTATATAATACAAAGGATCATTTTGTAATCAAAATATAAGCTTATCAATAGTGAGGAATCACGATTTGTCACCAAGAACATAAGTTAAATAATCAGTTAATGCTTAAAAATACTTTTGGTCCTATCTCCTATGCATAATAATTATTAACAATTTTTTCTCTTTATGAACATTCCTGGTTTTCAGTGTACATCAAGATAGAGCAAAAAGACCCAATAATTCATACTGTTCAAGATAGTAATATATTAAAATTATGCCGGCTCCGGGCATAAAATAATTTCTGGGCGTTAATTATCTATACTGGCATAATACATCCATTGAGTGATTTGGTTCACTTCTCAAGGTCTCTGTGTAATACTCAAGGTTTAATTAGTTCATGTTGAGGGCGATTAGGAAAAAAATTTCGGCTAGGGGCTGGGGTGAAACAATTTTTATATAATAACCAAAAGATTTTATTTGATAATATTTTAAAAATGGAAAAAATTATTACATTGAATTCTGGCAAGATTGTTGGAATTGTTAAGATTTTGCAAATTAACGAAACGTAAATTAGAGGAATTTTGAATCATTTGTCCGCCACTCAATGGCATCCTATAAGAATTCAAGACATTTCCAGGTGTTATATTAGGGTTTTTCAACATAGCCAAGTGGGCATTGCTATTCATATTCAGGGCGTTGTTTGAATGAACGTTCCTACTCATAATGTTGGGTGGAGTGTTCATGGTATTGAGATTCACGCTATTATTCTGCAAGAAGGAATTGATGTTGGATATATTGGGATTGCTAAAAACACTCGAAGGCATAACCTTAAAAAGCATGCCATTCCCTGTGTTATTTGCCAAGTTTAAATTTCCAGTGGGGTTGTTGTTTATGATAAAGTTTCTCGGTCCTTTTGAGTTTTGGTTTCTTTTTTCACTACAAAAAAAGTAGTTAATATTAAATCCTGATAAGATAATCAGGTTTTAAGGCTGTGTCCTGGTTCAACTATTTTTTAAACATAATTCTGTTTAGGCTATAAGGAACGCTTTTGAATTAGACTAGTACATTCTATTTTGGTTTGTACTAAATTAATACACCCTATTTTGGTTTGAACTAGACTAGTCTACCCTATTATGGGTTGTACTAGAATAAATAGTGCACCCTATTTTGATTTGTTTTAACTTTTAAGTATTTAGTGGCATTGTCATTTTCCATATTTTTTCAAGGTGAGGTTATATTCAGCGATTTAGTGATAAGTCAAACAGGACACACCCTAAATACTTGTGAGAAAGTAAAAAAAAATATTTATTTCTCTTAAAAAAACATATATATATAATTAAAGAAATAAAAATGACATACTTATCATTTTCATCATTTTCTATATGATCGAGGCTTTCCATCTCCATCAATTTTGCAGATTTTTTGCGAATTCTTCCAGTCCTTGAAGCATTCAAAAAAGCTTCTGAAAATAAGCCATCTAATGAATTTTAAAAACATATCTTAAAATTTTACCCATTTTTATTATATACAATTTAACCCTCCTTTTTGATAATTTGTTTCAAAAAAATGGCCTAAGATAAATCTCTTTTTTTTTGCAAATTTCTCTTGATTATTGATGTCATCATTTGTTATCTGCATTGGCCTAATTTTTCAAGCCCGGTCAAGCTCGAATTTATTTAAATATTGAAAAATTTAACCTTGTTTCTTGCAAGAATATTAAAATATATCAAATTGTTTCATAAAATTGAATGATATTCTATTTAAAAATTTAAACCCAACCCAGCTCAGATTTTTTTTAAAAAAATCAGGCCAACCCAAAATTATTTTCTAAAAATAGGCTCAACCCAGCTCTGATTTGCAGATCTCTAGTCATCATGTTTAATTTTTTCAACAAATTATAGATTTTTTAGTCACGCATACTTTTTATAATTAGATCTAGATAGGACAATATTATTGAAAAAATTGAGTACGTGTTTTAAAAAAGGCATATACAAAAAAATCATAGTTGGTTTTTATATAAATATCATAAGAATATTTTTTATAGTCTTCAAAATATCATGTTTCATGGGGTTTCTGATGATTTATAAAAATTAGATAGTTCTTTTGCAAGAAAAATCTACAAAATTTATGTCATTTATTTCTTTCTTGTTGAAACAATTAACATATATATATAGGGCATGACTAAAATATGGGTTCTCAAAAACTGTGTGCCCCCTATCAAAGAAGCTTAATTTAAATTATATTATTACAGAATCGTATTTACCTTCATAAGATGAGTTAGAAAATGTTTTTTTTATTTAAAAAAAATGGCAACATAGTAAAAATTTTAAAAAATTATTTTTTACATGACTAAACTACACGTCCCCTATCAAAGAAGCTTAATATATAAAAAAATGAACAGAGAATCATATATAACTTATTAAAAGGAATCAAAAAATGTTAATACTAAGTTTATAACTTATTAAGATTGTGAAAAAACACTTAATTTCTTCTTTTTTGACTAAATTTTTTTAAAAATTTTACTATGTTTTTTTTTTAAATAAAAAAAACATTTTCTAACTCATCTTATGAAGCTAAATACGATTCTGTACTAATATAATTTAAATTAAGCTACTTTGATAGGGGGTACATATTTTTCAGTCATGCCCATATATATATATGAAGAGTTGTTAAGGAGTGGCGCTACATGAGCGGGAGCTAGCTCCTTTTAGGGCTGGAGTGGAGGAGCGCCACTCCACCGCTCCTTTAAATTTAATGTATAAATTAAATTATTTTTTAAATATTAATAATATTTATCAGAGACCTGCAGAGGTACCATTTGTATGGCCCGGCCCAGATTAAAAAATTTTCGGCCTGGCCCAGATTTTTTTTTCAAAAATTTTTTACGACCCGGGTTTAAAAATTTTAGGCCTGGCCCAAATATTTAAAAAAAAAATTTTTGGAATCCGGCCCTGCCTAGATTTAAAAAAAATTTTTTTTAGGCCCATCTAGGAATTTTTAAAAATTATATTCAACCTGGTATATTCAAAAAATTCATTATTTCGTATTTTATCATATTTTTTGGCGAGTATTATCATTTAATAAGCAAGTATATTAGCTAATGTTGTTAAACGGCTCGTTTTGAGCCGATTTTTAAAAACGGCTAACTCAATATTTTCGCCAGCAAAATATTGACCAAGCCTCGAAATTTCGATACTATATGTCTAGACCTTAGCTCCTTCTATGAGCAAAATTTTCATGCTTGCATAATATTTTTCTGAATAAAAAACTTAGCTAGCCGTTTTTAAAATTCGGCTAAAAACCAGCCATTTAACTACACTAAATTTTTTTTTTATTCTAAACAGATATTTAGTATATTACAAATACTATGTATTTATAAAAAAAATAAAAATGATATTTTTAATAAAAAATATAACATATATATTATGTAATAATGTATTTAATCCTTTGTGTATTTATTCCATGGCAGGAAAACTATAATTTTATTATGTAATAGATACTATGAGTGTTAGCTAGTGTTAACTTTCACCAAACATTATATTAATCATAACTATATATAATCATTATAACCATATCTAATTGACGAATATAATAATTCATATTGTATAAATTTAAAAAAAAAATACGGCCTGGCCCTGCCCAGATATTTTTTAAAAAAAATTTCAAAATTTCAGGCCCGGCCCGGGTATATTTTAAAAATTTAAAATACGGCCTGGCCAGGCCTAGGGCTGGGCCTGCAGGTCTCTGATATTTATTAATTAAAATACAATAAAAATGAAATTTTATTTAATTTAAATTTATCCATTATTAAATGTTCAGCCGAGTTTTATATTGGTTTTTTATCTAATCATTTTAAATATTAAACATCAAGTTCCTTTTTATATTGAAATTTTTTTGGAAAATCTTGTAAGTCATATTAATATTCATTTTATGGATATATAATAAAAAATAGTTTTAGATATTATGGATTTAGAGATCATAGATGAAGAAATCGATTTTCCATTTTCATACAAAAAATATTTTGAACTTCTAAAAGATGTTGATCCAAATGATCAAACAAATGATGGGCAAAATGTCTTTTGTGTTTAAATAAAACTATTTAATTTTCAAAAGTGAGCAGCTTCAATCTAAAAAAGCATCTAAAAGTTAAAAAAATCTTTCTTTTAAATACAAATTGATTTGGAAGATTTTTTTGGATTCCATGGAATTGATCATCAGGAAGATAATATATTGAACAAATATTTTTTAAATAATGATACCAAAATTACTATTTTTGATAAATTCCCTGAATTAAATATCTTTATAAAATACAATACCCCACTTCCCTCTAGTGCTCCTGTGGAGTGCCTATTTGGTATTGCAAAACAGGTCTTAGAGGAGAGGCATGGATGTTTGTTAGATTCTAATTTAGAAAATTTATTACTTTTAAAAGCTAATAAAAGGTTATAAATATTTTGATAGATAATTTAATATAAATAAACTTTTTGATTAAAAAAAATAAGATTTTATTTCGTATACCCTCTAAAAAAATGAAAATCAAAGGAGCAGTTATGGAGTGGCACTCCATTACTTAGTTATGGAGTGGCGCTCCATTACTTGGAGCAGGAGCTAGCTCCTTTTAAAAATATAGTAGCAGGAGCGGGTGGGGTAGCTCCTTTTTAGAAGGTATGAGTGGGAGCGGGAGCTAGCTACTTGTAAAAATGAGCGTTAACAACTCTGTATATATGGTATTTCCCTATTTATTTCTATTGTATGGGTTAAATATCTTTCAATTTTTACTCTTATTGTTTAGTAACATTGTAGCAGTTGGGTGGGAAAGAAGTGATATTGATTTTTGTAAAACACAAGATTACATTGACCTTATAAACTTTATGGCTATTGTGCAGAAGGAATAGATAATACTAAAATTAGGTTATGCATCTAAAAAATTTTAAATAAGATACTTGCATGTGTATCTAGATTCTCTTTTTAAAGACATGATAACTTCTGATCATTATGTGAAAGTTTTTCATTATAGGTAAAAATCAAAAGTAAGTGAAATGTGTTTAAAAAAGATATTCTATAGGCCATTTATATTGGGGAAGGAGTGATTCCTACTGTTTCCAATATTTAGACCTGTTTTTAAATATAAAAATTAAATTCCTAATTCATTAAGAATAAGGTTAAAGCCCCTATATCAAAGGGTTATTAGATATTATTTTTAAAGCATTTTACAATACTAATAATATTCTAGAAATTTTGTCATATTAATAATGTATGATTTTGTATCAAGCAATATTACATGATACACATTAACTATAATAAATACTTATTTATTTGTATAAAAAGTTTTATATTTATTATATAAACCAGATTTTCCTTTAGCTGTTTCATAATCTTCTTCATCGTCGGAATCTTCAGATAGCCTTCTTTTTTTATTCAAAAAGGCCATATGTAATTTTAAAAAAAAGTACTAATGCACTTCCTAGAAATATATATGTCAATCACTTTTTCTTATAATTAGATACTTTTATTTTTATCGATTTTTATAATAATAGCAAAAAAAGATGGTATATTCTAACTAAAATTGGCAAAAAATTTATTTATAGAGAGTCTAGAACATTCATCGGACTTAATCACCTATTCTCCCTACCCCCATAACAATGACATCACCATTCTTTACACAGGAGCTCAAAAAAAAGTTTATTAAAAATGACCTTTTTTTTAGTTAACATTTTCTTCTTTTCTATTAACTTCAAAATTACATTTGATATAAAAAAATTTTTAATTTTTAGGGGACATTCAAATTTTTTAGGAGGCTCGATTAACTGCGGCCCTCTCCTAATAGCGCTACCGTTGTCCATCCTCTACGACATATTTAATTTAATTAAATAAATAATTAACAACATTACTCTTGCTATTCCATTGAACAATTCATTTTTCTTACTAGAAAAATATACTAGTTTAAATAGCAATATTTTAATAGCCCCAGGGAATTTATTAGTTACATGAACCAAAATAAAAAATAATATTTTTACAGCTGTCGCTTAAATTATTTTTTACATTTGAATTTGTTTATTACAATGGCAGATTTAGCGGTAGAATTGATTTTCAATTCAATATAAAATTTTATAATAGAAATTTGAAAAAGCAGCATCAGATGTCAAAAATCTAAAAAAGAAACCAGATAACAATGAATTATTAGAGTTATATGGTCTATTTAAGCAAGCCACAGTAGGTGATTGTAATACAGGTATATGTATTTTAGATAAATTATTTAGTATAAATTTAGAAAAACCAGGTTTACTTGATATTAAAGAAAAAGCTAAATGGGAATCTTGGAATGCTAAAAAAGGTCTACTATTTGTATATTTTTAATTTACTTATATTTACATAATAGGTATGACTAAGGAGAATGCTATGAAAGCTTATATAAAATTGGCTGAAAGTCTTATTAAAAAATATGGATTAAAAGACTAAAACTGTTACCAAGCAATTGTTTTATATTCACATTAATGTTTAGCTCAATATATCATTCTTTAAACTAAAATTTTTATATTTTATGTATATCATTTAATCTATTATATCTAGTCCATAAATAAATATTTCATATTGTCTTGTTTTATTTCCTATAATTTTTTGTATCTCTTGTACTTATCAATTTTTTTTTTAAATATTTTGAAACCAGAACTATTTATCAATTTTTTTAAAAAAATACTTTGAAACCATAACTAACTTATAAATTTTTTCAAAAATAACTTGAATTGAACTAAACCTTATTAAAACCCTTTCATACTAACATCTTGTATATATTATTTTTCAAATTCAACAGAAATATTAGAACCTTCTAATGACAATATTATGGTAAAAAAAATTTATTTAAAGTCAAAAACCCCTGGCTTTAATTTTTTGATGAAAAATGAAGGATTTTATCATTTTCATTTACTTTCATGTCTGCTAAAATGTTTGTGACTGGATACATAGGCACTACAAACAATGGTTAGGGGGAGGATTTAATTGCAATTGATATATCACAATTTTGGGTGGCAACTTAGGAACCCATTTTAGATTGCCCTTTGGCCATTTACCTAGAAACTAAAATACCCCCTACCCCTAACTCTCTATTTATAATATAAAATAAGCAACACATTTCTCCCCATCACAGTATAAGTATGGCTTTTATTTTATTATAGGGGACAGTATAAGGTCATACCAAAGTAAAAGTATGGATTTATACAAGATAAGGTTAAATATCAATTCATTTTTTTAAAAATAAATAACTAAATATACATTCAATTAATTTTCGGTAAGTTAAATAATTTATGAAAAAATCATAGTCCTTAATTTCATTTTATTACCTAATAATTCACTTTGATTGTATTATTGTTAAGTGAGTTAACCTATATTATCCATATTAGCAATAAAAAAATATCAAAACAACTATCTTTATATTTCATATTTATTTATATATACTGGACAAAGGACAAGCAATACTTCATTATATTTTTACAAATACAAAAGGGATAAAACTATTTTGTATAAACAAAAGAACAGAAAATATTCTACCAATAATTTAAAAAAATATATGTGGAGAGTAAATATAACAGTTCCCAACCATTCTAACTTTCCCTCTTCCATGTGGCTACTTGACATAATATGGAGCTGTACCTATCTAAAAAAAATTCCACCAGTGCAATATTACTACAATCTGATATTTATTGATTTATTTACAATTTTATATTTAAAAAATCTAACCTTCACAAATGACTAAGTACATTTTGTTTTTTTATTCTCCATAAATTAATTATTTAAAATATTAGTAATGTTTATGAGAATTTATTCTTGGTAAATGGTTCGATTCTGCTTATTATTTAAAATTGTTAAATCAAGATTTTAGCAAAATATATATATAAACTTTGTAATTTTGCCAATAGATTACTACTTTCTGTTTGTTAACTATGGGCAAAATTTTAAAGCTTAGATAATTACTTGAGTTAATCATTTTAAAAATGGACTAAATCAAGCTGTTTAACAACACTAGCTGAATTTGTCTTGTTAGATGTTTAAATCAGGGATCCGAAACGAATATAGGTTCAGGTTTGGATAAAAATAATGCAACATCGTACAGTTTGTGAAAAATATCAGTTCGAACCTACAAAAACCGGGTTAAACACTTCTATGCCAACTTACTAAATTTTATTTCTAAATATTCCTTTTTAGGATATAAGTAACGAATAATAATAAAAAGTAATGAAAAAGCAAACCTATTTGCGTTTCTTAAAATGGCTGCTAACGCCAAACTGTAATTTTACCAATTTGCACGAGGTCATTTGAAGTGCATTATTTGCGCTTGAAACGTTCAATTTATGCGCACTATTAACAATGAAAATTGATTCATAATCTTTAAAACAATTCGAATATAAATTAAAATTTTAGCAATATCCTAGTATTAACCTTCACATTTTTTTATAAGCACAAAATCATGAGGCTTAAACAGATTCACATGCATTTTGGCTATGTAGGTTCGGATAAAAAATCATTTAACTATTCAGGTTGATAAAAAATATCGATTCAGGTTCGGATTATAACCTTGGTTTAAATCTGTCAGGGGTTCGAACCGCAAAACCGGAATGAACCGTTATGATTGTCTGAACCTTAACCGAACCGTTATGAAGAAAATATTAAAAGAGCGAACCGAACCGTTATAAATATTTTGAACCGGTTATGGTTTTAAAAATAGTTAATTTTAAATTATTAACCTAAATTTTAATTTTCCTTGGGGGCATTTTTTAAATTGATGATTTCTTTTCAAATTAAATATTTCTATATTATCAACATTATATATCAAATTAAATATTTTTATATTATCAACATTATATATCAAATAATACCAGGTTTGTTGTTTTTTCTTTAAATACTTAATTTATAAGAGATCAGACAATTTATCTGTTAATTAGATAAGATATCTTAAAATCAGACATAATTATTCTTGGCTAAATTAACAAATTTATATATACGATATTAATAAGCTTTTAGAATAATACCTGCTAATAATTAGGAAAAAATTATATAATTATTATTAATAAATAACATCTAATAGAAATCAAGTACCTTTTACATTCATTTTTAAATTATATGGTTTATTTTTTATCTCATTATTTTATAATCATTGTTTTTTTAAATTCAGAATTCTAATATTATAAATTATTTATTACTATAATATGTTAGTTAGCATTTACCATTATCATATATGCAAAATAAAAAAATATGCTTAAAGAATGGCATTTGTATTGAATATTTTTCTAAATCTGTATTTTTAAATAATAAAAATCTTACTATAAATCTTCTGTTTAAATAAGTTAATTAACATTGCATTAAATTATTTTTATACTTTTATTTATTTAAATAAACTTACAGTGAATTAAAAATAGGAATTACATTTTGATGTTAAACTAAATATAAATATTATAGTTTAACTTAAATTACCTATTCTGTCATATTATATTAACATCTAATAGAAATAAAGTACTGACCAATTTTTATATAATATTGTTTTACAATAATTTCTTATTAATTGATATATTCAAAAAAAGTTTATCTTAGTTTATATAGAATATATCAGAGTGGGTAATTTGAATTAAACTATACTAGTTATATTTAGTTTAACATCAAAATGTAATTCCTATTTTTAAATGTAAGTCTATTTAATATAAAACACAAATAAATAAAAGTATAAAATAATTTAATGCAATGTTAGTTAACTTATTTAAACTGAAGATTTATAGTAAGATTTTTATTATTTAAAAATACAGATTTAGAAAAATATTCATTACAAATGCCATTCTTTAATCATATTTTTTTTTATTTTGCATATATGATAATGGTAAATGCTAACTAACATATTATTTTAATAATAAATATTAGAATTCTGAATTTAAAAAAAATATGATTTTTATAAATAAAAAATTATTTTATCATTAAAATATTTATTGCTGACCATTTTATTTATTGTCATTTAAATTCTATAATCCAAGTTATTTAAAAAAATTAAAATGAAGGTAAAATTGTTTCTATTAAGCTTTTTTATTTATTCTATTTATATAATAAAAGATTTTCATCTATCATCATATAGCTTTTTAGTTATCTATTAAATGGTTCGGGAAAAGTCAAATCCTGTGCGTTCTGTCCTATCTGGGAATGTTGACGCGATGCATATATTGTTTATGTAGTATAGTTATCTCTGTAATATATTAGTGTCTCGCCGTCGTTTATTTATATAGGAATAGTTATTATTTTTTTTATAATATTATTTTGCAATGTTATTTTTTTTAGAAAAAATAATGTTTATTTTTTTTTAATATAATATAAATAGTGTAGAAAAAAAAATAATAGATTTGATTCATTTTTTTTTTGAAAAAAAAGAAATAAATTTTATTGAATATTATTGAGATTTTTTTTTTGTTTAATTGATTTTTCTTTAGTAAAAGAAAAAACAAATTTGTTTTAAAAAAATAATTAATTACTTAATAAAGTTTGTTTTTCTCCTTGTGATAAAAGTATATTTTAAAAAAGAAAAAGATTCGATTAATCTTGATAGGTACAAAAGAAAAAGAAATTGAAAATTTAAATTGATAAGATAAAGCTTGTCGTTTTCGTTCCGAACCCCTGTCCCCTATAAACTTTCCGTTTGTCAGTCTTTCTGATAAATTGGTGGCCAAGACGAGCATATCGTAAAAAAACTTTTAATTTAAGAATATAAAATTCTTTGGTGAGAATTTAGGTTACCCGTGCGGCGGAAGTTTAAGAATATAAAATCCTTTGGTGAGAATTTAGGTTACCCGTGCGGCGGAAGTTTAAGAATATAAAATCCTTTGGTGAGAATTTAGGTTACCCGTGCGGCGGAAGTTTAAGAATAGAAAATCCCAATAGGTTACCCGTGCGGCGGAAGTTTAAGAATAGAAAATCCCAAATTATTCGCGAAGCTTAAATACACGGAAGTGCTTCCCAAATTATTCGCGAGGCTTAAATACACGGAAGTGCTGCCCAAATTATTCGCGAAGCTTAAATATACGGAAGTGCTGCCCAAAATTTTCTTAAGCCATAATTGTACGGAAGTGCTGTCCAAATTTTTCGAAGAAATAAATTACACAGAGGTACTACCAGTTTAGATTAAAAAAATCAAAATACACGGTAAATTCGCGGAGAGCAATTTAGACAGCATCCTATCAGTAATAGGTATATTGATTATTTTGTTTGAGATTGTTGCATGTATATGTGCATTATTGGATTATTTACGTTATTAATAATATCTTACCTATTAACTTTACAAATAACCAAGATTTTCATTTTAAAATTAATAATAAATTTTTTATAACGTTCGGATGAAAAACTTAAAATTTGTTAAGTATTGGGAGGTCCAGTATAATATTTTTGGGGCGTTGGTGATATTAATTATATGGATTTGTAGTTTAATTTGGGGCAGGAGAATGAAGAGAAGTCGCAGTGTAAAAATCAAAGGACAAACTTTAACCATTGAGGGGCATAATGGAGAGGAAGATATGATGGGCAGAGTAACATGGTTGCCGGTTCAAGAGTTAATTAGGGGGTGGACGGATAG